TTTTTTAGGGGCTGGTGAGATGGCTCAGTGGTCTAAAGCACCTACTTAGAACAAGCTGAGCTAAAAGCACAGGGACCGCGGTTCAATCCCCCAGCACATGCCAGCCAGCCCCGCCCCCTGGTGGGCTGAGCTGGCCACACACGCGCACACACACACATAAATAAAAACAAAATTAAAAAAAAAAAAATCTTTCTTTTTTTAGCAGTAGGAAAACTAGAAGGGTGTAGTGGCATAGGCCTATAACCCCAGCACTAAGGAGGTTGAAGCAGGAGGATCATTAGGGATTTGAGACCAGCCTGGGCAACAAAGTGAGCTCAAGGCCAGCCTGAATTGCACAACGTGACTCTGCCTAACAACAACAACAACAAAAAGACAAGTAGGAAAATTTATTGGGAAAAGGAAAGGGAAATAGGAATTGCTCTTGAGAGAAAGGAAGCATTCCAAATGGTTGCTCTCAAAATCTTCAAGATGGATAAGACACCTTATAAAAGAAACAAATTATTTTCCCAACTTTCCAAGCCCCAAGAATGGAATCACTTCTAAGTTTTCTCCACCCACACACATTGGCTACTTCACCTGTCTTACAAAATATTCACTTCTCTCATCCCCCCAACTACTTAAGTTCTGGCAGTCACACTATAACTAGCCTAGTTCTGACTAACCTAGCTTCTGCTAAATCTCTTTATCAGTTATCTATATTACTTCCATCCATTTTCCAACTGCCTCAGTGATCTATCTAAAATATAAATTGTGTCATTTGATAGCCCCTCCTCCCTGAAAGTCTTGTAGATCTCACATGTGGGGGAAAAACCCAAATGTCTCCAGTGTTACCAGGCCTTGCTGACCTTCACTAGTCTAATTCCTGCACCTCCACCTCACACTACCTCACTGTTTTCTGTGGGCTGTTGGTCTGTAATGTCTTTGCTCCCACTTGTTGCTTGACCAACTCCTCTCTATATCAATGCTCATTCCCACTTTTTCTTTGAAAATGTCAAACCAGCAGAACAATTAACATGATGATACAATGAACATATGCTTTTCATGTAGATTCAGTTTTACAATTTTTGCCAATTTATTTTACATCATGACACTTAACCCCTACAGCTTGAATATCCTTCAGAACAAGAGTATTCTCTGAACAAACAAGTAATACCATTACCACATCTGAAGTATTAAACTGTCACAACACTACTTAATATGTACCCCATATTGAATTTTCCCAAGCCTCCCAAAATGTCTCTTACAGTTTGTTTTACTTACTCCTTTGTTTAATCCAGGAACAAAACAAGGATCATGCACTGCACGTGTCCCTCTTATACTTCAGGATTCAATTCTCAAGTCTGACCCTCTGGTTCCTCTTCTCCTTTCTGGCTCCAGCCACCCAGTCTGGGTTACAAGCCTTCTTTAGATGTTTTTGTACTACCACTATCTTAATATTATCAGCTACTCTGTAATTCTCTATTTTGCTTCCCTAATAAATATTAAGCACCCAGAGGACTTTTTAGTATCCAGGAGCATACTCTGGCTCACAGAAGACACTCACTAGATGTTGGCTGAACAAATAACAGCTATGAACACAAAATGGACTGAACTTCCTATGCTGAAGCCTAAACCAGAATGTCACTATATCTGGACACAACAGCTTGAAGGAGGTAATTAAGGTTAAAGGAAATCACAGGAGCGGGACCCAAGCCTAGCAGGATTGGTGTCCTTTTTTTTTTTTTAATGATTCTTTTTTTTTTAATTTTTTATTTATTTGTTTATTTATTTATGTATTTATTTTGTGTGGGTGGCCAGCTCAGCCCACCAGGGGGCGGGGCTGGCTGGCATGTGGTGCTGGGGGATTGAACCGAAGTCCCTGTGCTTTGCTTAGCTTAGCTTGTTCTAAGTGGGTGCTTTAGACCACACTGAGCCATCTCACCAGCCCCAGGATTGGTGTCCTTGTAAGAGAAAGAGGCATCACGAGCGCAAAGCATGGAGGAGCTGTCTGCGGCCCAGGAAGAGCCCAGGAAACCAGAGGACCAGAATCCTGACGGTGGACTCCAGCCTCCAGAACTGTGAGAACACGTATTTCTGTTATTTAAGACAGCTAGTCTGTAGCTCTCTGCTCCTGCAGCCCAGGATAACTGATACAATGACCAAAATCATTGTGCCACAGTCTGTGGAAGACAGAATGCTAAGCAAAATCAACACCACAGCTAAGACCGCCAACAGAAGACTTCTTCCTGCACTGCTTTAGAAAAGAAGAGAACCACATACTTACCAGAAAGAATAGGAAACATTCTGACATTCACAGCATACATTAAAAAGAAAACCATGAAAAAAAAGAAGAAAGAAAGAAAAACATGGGCCGGGCATGGTGGCACAAGTCTGTAATCCCAGCACTCAGGAGGCTGAGACAGAAGGATCATTGCCAGTTTGAGACCAGCCTGAGGCCACAAAGTGAGCTTAAGGCCAGCCTGAGTTGCATACTTGACACCTTGTCTCAAAAAAAAGACAAATAAAATATTATCTTTACTACAACAAGCAGCAAAACTATCAATCACTGTTTGTTTGTTTTATAGCAGTACTAAGGACTTTGACCCCAAGGACCTGCCCACCAGCTATATCCCAATCTCCAGCCCTTTGTCAGCTCTTATTTTGAGATAGTCTTCCTGCCTCAGCCTCCCACGGTGCTGGAGTGTGTCATGACACCTGGCTCAGTCATCATCTGTAACCATGTAGTCAGGCCGGCCAGAAAGCTCAGGGTACTAAAGTGCCTGCTTAGGCAGAACACAGCAACCAGGGCTCAATCCCCAGCATCTGTGCCATGCTGTGCCCTGCCCTGTGGTGCTTTGCTGGCCCCGCCCCAGGGCACACCAAGA